ATATATATATATATATATATCATATTACAAAGATTATTTGTGAGCACTAAAGTAGCCCCAGTTCATTCATCTGTACGGGGAAGTTCTCACCAAAATAAGACGACGGTTGCATCTGTTGTGTGTTACATTGCACAACAGTGACCCAGGCAGCCACCCTTCAAACTGCTTTTTGTGCAGGAGGACAACTTTGAGGCTGGAAACAATAGCAGAGAATTCAAGTGTTTTCAATGTTGCTAATAGAGACCACATTGCCTCTGTTTGCACTCTAACGTGTGTGTCATCTGTATTGTCTCAAAGTGAATGCACTAGCTCATTTTTAACAAATTTCTGTGGAGGTGTGCATTGTTCTGTGGTTAGAAAACTGAGGTTGAAAACAATAATAGAAGACAGAGGAATAAAAAGCAAAGCTCTTTTTCTCCCTCAGAATTATATTTTTCTATTTTTAAATAACCCAACAGAGGGATCTTCCTCCCCTGTTGGATTTATGCCTCCCTGCAACTCCAGCCTCTGCTCCACTAACTCGCTGGCTCTTTCTGCACCTACTGCAGAGACCAACCTGCAATCAATACTCCAGAAAAGTGCTGAGAAGACAGCAAACAAGCTGACCACATACTGTGAAATCAGTAACTGTGGTTTAATTAAGAGTTTCCAACTGTAACCCAATCACAAAAACAGTTACTAAAGAAATTACAAACTTAATAACCCTTTATGGACCATGTCTTGGAGCCTCGTGTTTCAGAATTTGAACTAGCAAATGCTTCTTGCTTTTCCATGATAAATCTCTTAACTGGTTAAAAATCCACTCATTCATTCATTTCTCTTTATCCCCCTTTGGATTAATCAGTATATTTTATCACTTCAACACTCTATTTTCTCTGAGGAGAAGGAGGGGGGCCACTTTCTAAGTGACCGGACGGACCTTGCTACAAGGCCAAGCTGGACCAGGCCAGGCCAGATGTGGCTCCTTCAGATAATTGACCTCAGCTGATGGCCAGAAGCAGCAGCAGCAGCAGCAGACAACCGAGGCAGACCTCCCATTAGTGAAGTCCCTGGATTCTGGCTCCTTAATCCATTTCACCTACTAATTCTGTGCTGCCAGCAGTCCCGCCAGAGGAAGACAGACAGACAAACAGTAGAGGGAACGAGGAAGAAAAGAGAAGCAGAGAAAGCGGGGAGGGCAGTTAATGGGAGATTGCAGAGGTGGAGGGGAGTGAATGACAAACAGAGAGAGCGGGTAGAAAGGGACAGAGTCGAGAATGGATGAGTAGGACGGGCAGGTGGGGCAGGCCTATGTTTTGTGAAGACCTTGAGATGGAAAAATAATAATTCTCCCTTGCATAAATGTCTCCTGCCCCTGAGAGGAGAAGAGAGACATGGAGTTGGGGGGGAGGGGTGGGGCAGCAAGTGAGAAAAGAAACCACAAGCAGGAGAGAGGCTTTCTGGGATTTTTCCAAGTAGCTGCAGTGCGTGATAGCGGCTCATATTTTTCCTCTCGTGTGTGAACTGCATTTTCACTCCCTGGCTGTGGAGGGGTGGTTTGAGGCGAGGGGGACTGGTAGTGGCAATCAGATCCCAGCAAATAAAGATAAAGAGGTCATTGAAAGTCAGTCTTGACTTAAGTCTGCTTTTGGAGCCTCCAGGGGGAGTGCACAGGCCAGCGTTTAGCATGTGGGCTTGTCTGTAGCGGGACTCATTGCAGACACAGTGTGATAGTAATCACAGTGTGCGCTCGATGCCAAAAACAACCAGCAGCCTAACATTTGCACACACATTTGTATGGCAGTTGTTTTTTGATCAAATGCACCCCCGGTTGTACATTTCCCATGTGGTGCAGCAGTAACTACTGAACAACCACTGGCTGTTCTTATCTGTGTGAACAGAAACATCTTGTTGTCTATTTTACTGATAAATGGCAGTTTCACGCTGTCTTCTTCGATTTAAAAGACAAACCGTCTGTAAAAAGGATTTTCCTTTTTACAGACTGCAGAAATGGATATCGTGCCGATTCCAGAGAGACGAAAAGTATCAGCAACAGAAGGTCCTAAATAAACTCACATCTGTTACCAGTGTCACTGTACTGTTAAAGCTAACTACAAAAATGTAACTTTGTATGAACCAATACAAACACATTTTTTGAAGCCTTGTCACAATGCCATATTGTATGGAAAATAGGAGAGATCTATCATTTTTAGCATATAAATATTTCAGTAACTCCTCATCATTCCCTCTATAGTACATACCTTTTATAATTAGTGTTAGCATAGCTGAAAATCCAGGTACATAATGAACTTGATGAAAGAGTGCTCTGAACTGACGTGAAACGAACTTTTCTCTCTAGAAAGCCAAACAAGTTTAACTTTCCTCATAACTGCTGTGCTTGGAGAACGGATCTTCCTGTGACTCTGTAAGCAAATCACCTCTCAGTGACATCAACCAGACCCCAGAGTTGAAAAAAATGTTAGAAACTGAGAGTTTGGAGTGATCTAAACCTGAGCGGGCTGGCTCATTTGTCATTATGTGTAACTTTGGCTCATAAAAAACAAATAAAAAGTGCATTTTAAGTAGTGACTTGCTACTTCTCCATGAAATTATCATCAAAACCCAACAAAGAAAAAGCAGCAGTTTTGCTCATTTTCTCCCATTTTGATCCATCTCTCTCAGTGTAACTTTACACACACTTCTTTGATGGAGGTATATAAGTCAAGAAGTCAGATAACTGGTGGTCTTTTAAAATAAATAATGTTTATATCTTTCATATAATGTGCTTCATTCTTTGCTCAGCCACCCACAGCTTTCTCTGACTAGGCTGTGAAGTCCTAGCAGCTCGACTCAGCACAGTCACTAATCCCAAAATGACAGTCATGTGTCAGTTTTGTTAGAATTATTGCGGTACAGAGACAGAGTCCTGGAGGTAATAACATAATTTTCTCAGGACACATATAATTATAGTAATTCATGCTGTTGTACTTGGGCTTGCAACCATATTCTCGTATTGGCCAAAT